CCTTTTGATACTACTACATAATAAATATAGATACATTTACAATATAGATTCATGATATTTTTTCCCCCATATCCTTCCTGAACTTTTTCACGAGACGAAACGTATTCGTATATGTGATGTACGATTTTGGCTGTGACTCACTGTATGTACGGTAAGACATTGTTCTTGTATTCACAATAACAATTATACATCAACAAAATGCTCCATAATAATGCAGAATTAATGTACGATTAAATCAGTCATGTAAGTACATATTATCTTTGAAAATATAAAAATAAAAGAGTAACTTGATTGCGCAGAATCTTTTGCACCTTTTTAAGTGTTAAACAAAATCGTCAGCCGTTGAAAATGAATATAATTATTCGTAATACCATAATTATATTATAGTTAATAAGTTACACACATTTTTAGTCAGTTAAAAACATTTTGATCCGTACAGTGTTAACTCTTTGCAGACGAATGTCGACGTTTCGACGAGATGAAATTTTCATATTTGGAAGACTAAGTCGTAAACAAATGATTTAATTATTCAAATAGCAAGAGATCAGTATGTAGTTCCCTATTTTTCTATTGTTCAAGTAATTGATATATAATTTAGCTTCATCTCTTGAGGGTTTTGTATATTTCAGAGAATCTCCGTCCGCAAAGGGTTAATATCTTGCCGTATTTTGCCAAAATAGAAAATTCTACTCTACAAATATATTTCAGAGGTAAGCTTATTATATGGCACTGCCATTGACCGCGAGATTGTTGAGCACGGGAGTGGTAATTTCCCTGGGCACAACATCAAACCAAAATCCATCCTCTGCCGTCATTTGGAACACTTTCTTGCTCAATTTCATCGGTATGGTTGTTTTCTCGTTGGGTTTAAGGTTGCAGCGCGCGAACACGTGGAACAACAAGACCTTGGTCTCGAGAAGCGCGAACCTGTTCCCCAGGCACATCCTCGGGCCTACGCCGAAACTTAAAAACTTCCCAGAGTTTAGAAGCTTCTTCGAGTCGTCGAGGAATCGATCCGGATTGAACTTCGTCGGCTCCTCAAAGTGCTGCGGATCAAAGTGTATCCCGTAGATCGGTAGCCAAAGGACCTCGTCTTTCTTGACCAGATGCGGTTTACCTCCTGGCAACGCTGGAGGTAGCTCGAAAGGTATCGTGCAGACTCTGTCTACAAAAATGTTCACCGGATACATCCTTAGAGCTTCGTTGATAACAGCGTCCAGATACTTCATGCCGTTAATTGCCTCATAAGACACCTCTCCTTTGTTGTTCATCAGCACCTCGTCGATCTCTTCCTGCAACCTTTTCTGGACCTCCGGATTCACTCCTATTTCATAAGCAGCGAAGCACATCAGGGTCGAGCTGCTATCGAACCCTCCAAAGAAAAAGCCGAACGCGTGCGCGGTCATGTCTTCGATTGTCAGTTCTTTGCCCGGGCCCAATTTCCCCCTAGTTTCCATCATTATGTGAAGCAGGTCCGGTCTCACGATGCCCTGTTCGTCTCTAGCTTTAATGGTAGACGAGATCAAATCCTGGAAGAAGTCCGTGATCTTTTTTTCGAATATCCTTATACCGAACACCCTACAAAGCAGAGGAAACTTCATCGACAGGAAGAACTTGGTTGCCCTCCGTTTATCGATAACCGTAGCTTCCCTGCCGTAGACGTAGAACGTGTTGTTGGGATCGGTCATCGAATCCACAGTCACCCCGAACACACAGGTGCCGATCACGTCGTTCGTGTACTTGGTGAACGTGTCCTTCAGCTCGATGGACCTTTTCTCTTTGGGTAACATAGCCAAATTCTCCCCGTACCGTACAGCACATTCATGCATCAAGTTGTACATCGCTTTCATCTTGCTGGAAGTGAATGTTGGGCTCAACAGGCCCCTCACCTCCTTCCATCGTTCACCGCGCAAAAAGAATATGTTTTTACTGAAAATCTGTTCCGACGCTGTTATTGAGCGGTGGTTCTGGAAGTGGTCGAAATTCTTCACCGTGACGGACTTCAACAAGTCCAGGTCACGGATCATGATCGCCGGCGTGAAGTTCTCGAAGACACCGATGTACTTGGCTTCGGGATAGAGATTGTATATTCGTTGAATCGTTTCGGCTAAGCTGCATTTTTGGTTGCCTAGATCCTTCATGCTACCGGCAATCGGCGACCAAGGTGCGATCGGAATCCCGGTATCATCGAAGAAACTGTACACACTTTTCACGTAATAATAGATTGCCGCTGCGACTACTGCGAGCAGGGCCACGGTCACCATCAATGCTTCAATCATGGTGGTTTTGTTAAGTCGCTACACCGTCCATTACATGTCCACCGAGCAACACCGTAATTATATTCTTCTGATGAGCCTTGCTCCCAGACTTTGCACGCTTTGAGTAGTTGGAGTTCGATAATAATGCAAGATAGAACGCAATTCTGATAATAAACTTGAAAATAGTAACGGTCTGATTAGTGCGTATTCTGTTGTTATACTGATATCATTCATCTAGATTGCCGACGTTTTTTATCATGTATTGCGCGTCGACCTTGCAGCACAGCGCTTGAGTGTTTACCATCTCCATTTCGACATCGCTGTGTCTGTCATTCAGTGGAACGTAATTGAATAATTTAAGCAATTATTGCATCGTAAAAAGTGCATATTCAGTGAAAAAAATTGGATAAGATTTAATAATAATGTAATCTACGGCATAATTAAGTTATTAGTGTTATTACTGTCATCATTTTTAACATTATTACGTTGTATAATAATTTATAAAATAAGTACGGGGGTTTTAGGATCCCCGAAGGTCTAGACAAAATTCTCATGTATGAATAATCATTGAACTCATGGGGAATAGGAGGTAACGTGATAAACCAAATGAAAATTCCCATAACATTACACTAGTCTAACAGTGTAACGCATATTAAAATGGTAAGCGAGTACAGATTACATTGCGTAAGTACAATGATTTCTATAACACTTATTTGAAATTAAGCTCTGATATTTTCTATTTTTAATCTTGTCTCTCTGATTAGCCTATTCCAGTTCACGAATTGTACTTAAATCGTCAATGTAAATCCCATATTTTGCTGAGGAGTCGGCCATTTTCTTAAATAAACAAACAATCGATCCTTCGATAGTCGCACCTGCGCGTCTGTCGAACTATTAGTCTTTGTTTCTTCATACTAATTATTCACCATAATGGGAGCATGATAGGGTATATTTATTATTAAGTGGTAAGGTATAAAAGACAAGTGAATCGTGTCGTTGAGTAAAACTTAAACATTTAAGATGGGGCTAATAAATGGCACATAAAGTATTTTCGTATTGGTTATCATTCATCATTCGTGTTGTCATTCCAAAGTCACAACACTTCATACTTTCTTAAATATATCTTTGATTTGACATTTAACTTTATCGTTTGAACGTTCGTTACCATCGATATCTGAGATTTCGATATATCGTCGTTGTGATTCGTGATGTCCGGAAATCACAAAGCGGAATTTAAATATCCTTCGGATTATGTCAAGTTGAATATCGGTGGTTCCTTACACTACACAACTTTAGGTACACTTCAAAAATATGATACTATGTTACGTGCTATGTTTAGCGGTCACATGGAAATGCACAGAGACTCCGAAGGTGAGATGTTTCATAATTATTTAATTCAATACTACATCAGTCTTTGTATTATTCATTGATACATCTTAAACAATGCTAATCTAGTTTAGTAGTCCATTACAAAATCATATTCCCAAATGCATACCCCAAAAGATGTATTTAATATCTTTTAAATTATTTACTTTCATCTATTATGTTGTGCTGAAATTTTATGGATTTTATTTGCAGGATGGGTGTTAATAGATAGGTGTGGTAAACACTTTGGAACAATCTTAAATTTTTTAAGGGATGGTTCAGTTCCATTACCAGAGAGCACAAAAGAAATGGCAGAACTACTTGCAGAAGCAAAATTTTATTGTATCAGCGAATTAGCAGAATCTTGTGAGCAAGCACTTCTTTTGAAAGAAAAAGAAGCAGTGCCTATTTGTAGAGTTCCACTTATTACTTCTCCAAAAGAAGAGCAGTTTTTAATTAGCAACACTACCAAACCAGTGGTAAAGCTGCTTATTAATAGGCACAATAACAAATATTCATATACAAGGTGATACTACCCATTTCATAGAAATTGCAATACGCAATGATACAAAGAACAAATAAATATAAAAAGCCCTGTCTTTGCAGTTTGTCAGATGATAATCTGTTAAAAAACATAGAATTGTTCGACAAAATGTCTCTTAGATTCAATGATAGAGCACTGTTTATTAAAGATGTAATTGGCTCCAGTGAAATTTGTTGTTGGACATTCTATGGTCATGGTAGTAAAGTTGGAGAAGTTTGTTGCCACTCTATTGTATATACGACTGACAGGAAACACACAAAGGTAACATAAAATAATATACATATCAGTGCTTTTATAATTATTCATTATAAAAATACACCTTCCATAATGTAAAGTAATATTCAAAGTAAAGATAAAGAGGGATAGTAAAATTTTAATTCACAATATATAGGTTGAATTTCCAGAGGCCAGAATTTATGAAGAGACATTAAATATTTTGTTATACGAACACCGAAATGGTCCTGACCAAGAACTAATACGAGCAACTTCCTCTCGAGGTGGAGTCAGTAATGCACCACCTTGTATATCAGATGAGGAAGAGAATGAGCGTTCATTGGCTCGCCTTCGTTCCAAATACCAATTCACGCAACCTCAATTGAGTCTTCGCCCTTAAAACGCGAGCCAATATAAAATAAGATGTATGAAAAGTGGGATACAAGGAAAATTCCATGAATATATATATGGGCTACCATTTAGCTTCATATTACAATTTCATACCTTCTAGGTTTACAGATATGTATGTATTCTAATCCTACAAATTTGGGATTATTTGCAGACAACTTTGATTTAGAACAGAATGACAAATTCGTCATGACTTAATTCATACTTAGACAATAAGATAAAAAATAATACAAAAGTATAAAAACGTTTTCTTATTCTTTATTTTCGTATCGAAAATTGGAAAATAAGTATCCTCAAGAGAACAAGATGTTAGTACTATTTTTGTGCCAAATATTCGTATGAGAAGTTAAAATTGAAGTAAATTGAAGTTGTCATTGTGTGATTGATAAAATTATTTATTATTTTATGCTCTATAACAACTTTTAAGCAGTCATTTAGAATAATGTATTATATAAAAAGTTCCGAAACATGAGACTACATTGTTACCTGTTACGAGTATTATTATTATAGTTGTTACTATTGTACTATTATGGTTGTTACAACTATTATTATATTGTTAGTATTATAAATTATCAATATTTTTATTATGGTTGTTATCACTAACATCATTATAAATTCAAAATCTTTATATCCTTTTTTACAAAAGAAAATTTTACGTATATCATAAATTATTGTTTTTATAAGTGTTTATTTAAAAATCCCAGACACAGAGTAGATGTAATTACGAATTTAGAATTGTCCAGACCAATCCCAATTATAATAAAGGTAGAAAATTTACTACTTTTTCCATAAATACTATACAGAATACAATTTTTTCAATAAACCTGTTGTGTTTTCTTAAATGTATTCTTTATTTACATGAAAAAGGTATTTACAAATATTTTAAAGATTAAATTGTAATTAAAAATTCCATATACTTTTTTTTATTGTTTCTATACGAATATTCATTTTAATTATTTCATTAAATTTTATGAAATTTACATTTTTAATGACGTATGGT